TAAGGCTAAAAAGTCCTCCATGGTAAATTCACTATTTACGTCTCCCGGTGTCGTGCCGGTTTTGCCGTAAAACTTCGACGGACCATAACTTCTTCGTTATAACTCGGATTTCAACGTTCTTTATATGTACGGAACCCTTGAGACGTGCTCTACAACTTGGTTAAGATTGTTTATTCTAAATAATCTTTTGTCAAAAAGTCGTTTTCGACCCCTATTATCTCTAAATTGACTAGCCCGGATCTTCGGGCGTTACATTTCACTAGGGCAACTTGGGTTTATTTGCTAAAATCTAAAAGTGAAGTATTTACTTGTGTTACTGCATTATTTAGTATTTTATTCAATCAATTTGATGTTTAAATCAAAAAGGTTAGGTCTGATAATGACACTGAGTTTTTGAATCATAACATGAAGTCTTTTTTTGAAAGTAAAGGTGTTATTCATCAAACTTCATGTGTACACACATCTCAACAAAATGGGGTGGTTGAAAGAAAACATAGACATATTTTAAATGTTTCTAGATCTTTAATGTTTCAGTCAGGGCTGCCATTATGTTATTGGGGTGATTCTGTTTTAACTTCAGTTTTCTTGATTAACAGAACTCCCACTTTTGTGTTAAATGGGGCCTCTCCTTATGAACTTATTTATAAGTCTATTCCTAGTTTTGATAAACTTCGTGTTTTTGGTTGTCTTTGTTTTGCAACAAAATTGAACAACCTGGACAAATTTTCTGAACGTGCTGAAAAATGTGATTTACTTGGTTATTCTTTGGAACAAAAGGGATATAAAGTTTTGAGTCTTGATTCAAATTTTGTTTTTGTTTCCAGGGATGTAAAATTTTATGAATCTGTATTTCCATTCAAGCTTAAGTCTTCAATTGGTGATAAATCTAATTTTTTGATTAATCCAAGTGACCCATTTTCCTATGATGAGACTGTGTTGTCTAGTTCTCTTCAAGAAAACAGTAGTTTAGGTGACTTAGGAATAACCCTTCAATCTGAAGGTGCTAAAGCAGTCCACAGTCTGGCTGAGACTCCTGTCAGTGAGGTCAGCAACCAGAGTGGCGAGGCACATGTGCCTCAGGTTGTGGTGGATGTTCCTAGTTCATCTACCATGGCTGAGGATAATCTTTTAGAACAAAATAATCCTTCTGATGATCACTTATTAGGAGTCACTCGATCTGGTAGGAATGTTCGTTTGCCAACAAGGTTTAATGATTTTGTTGTTGAAAGTTCTCATAAGTATGGTTTAGAAAAATCTGTGAATTATTCTTTTTTGACTAATGAAAGTAAATGCTTTGTGTCTAACCTCAATAAAACTTTTGAACCTAAAACTTATTTTGAAGCTTCTTCAGATCCTAATTGGATCAAAGCTATGAATGAGGAAATGGAAGCTTTATATAGAAATCATACTTGGGATATTGTTGATCTTCCTAAAGATAGAAAACCTATTGGTTGTCGTTGGATTTATAAAATTAAATACAAGTCTAATGGTGAGGTTGAGAGATATAAAGCTAGACTAGTTGCTAAAGGATATAATCAAAGGGAAGGAATAGATTACGAAGAAACTTTTTCTCCTGTTGCTAAAATTGTTACAGTAAGAATTGTCCTATGTGTTCCTGTTAATAACTCTTGGCCTCTTTACCAATTGGATGTTAATAATGCATTTTTGTATGGTGACTTAATTGAAGATGTTTATATGACTTTGCCAGAAGGGTATCATACAAAAAATGATAGTAGAGTTTGTAAACTAGTTAAGTCTCTGTATGGTTTAAAACAGGCTCCACGAAAGTGGAATGAAACATTATGTTCTTCTTTGTCTGTTTTTGGTTTTGTTCAAAGTATAAGTGATTATTCATTATTTGTTAGATCAAAAAATAACACCATTGTCATTTTACTGGTATATGTGGATGATATAATTCTGACTGGTAATAGCAATATAGAAATTGAAAATGTTAAATTGTTTCTTAAGTCTCAATTTAGGATAAAAGATTTAGGATTGTTGAAGTATTTTTTGAGAATTGAAGTATTACCTATAGCTAATGGTGTTTGTATGAATCAAAGAAAATACTGTTTGGAGCTCTTACATGAATTTGGGATGCTAGGCTGTAAGCCTGTTAAAACTCCTTTGGAAGTTAATTTTGTTTTTAATAGAGATTGTGATGATAATTCTGAACATGTAATTAATATTACTGAGTTTCAAAAACTTATAGGAAAGCTGATTTATCTTATTGTAACTAGACCTGATATTAGTTATGATGTTCAAGTGTTAAGTCAGTTTATGCATAAGCCCAGAAAATCACATCTAAATGTTGCTTTTAGATTGCTAAGATATTTAAAAGAGTGTCCTGGAAAGGGTGTTGTATTTTCTAAATCTAGTAATTTTGATGTTGTTGGTTATGTGGATGCTGATTGTGTTAAATGTTTGTCAACAAGAAGGTCTGTATCTGGATACTTGGTATATTTAGGTGGTTCTCTTATTTCTTGGAAAAGTAAGAAGCAAAGCACAGTATCCAGGTCCTCAACTGAGTCTGAATATCGTGCTTTGGGTTCTGTTACTTGTGAGGTATTATGGATCTTAAAAGTTTTGAGTGATCTTGATTATAAAGATTTAACTCCTGTTAAATTGTTTTGTGATAATGAATCTGCTATTAAGTTAGCATTAAATCCAGTTTTTCATGAGAAGACAAAACATTTTGAGATAGATGTTTATTTCATTAGAGAAAAAATTGAAAATGGTATTTTGAAGTTAGTTAAAGTTGATTCATCTAATCAAAATGCAGATATTTTGACTAGGTCTTTGACTTCTTTTCAACATGAGTTTTTGTCAAAAAGATTTGGACTTTTAAATTTGTTTTCATGAAAATGATGATTTCAAATGATAAGTTTGAGAGGGGGTGTTAAAAAGTAATATTATAAGCAAACTTATCATTTGTGTTAATATGGTGTTCAGGGTGTGTTTTGTTAATTTATTATATGTATAGGGTGTTATTGTATTCTTTGTGAGTGCAGGTAAAGATTACATGCGGGTTGTTTAACCCGAACCTGATCCATGGGTGGTTCATGGGTATATGTTGCCCCGACTATTTAAAGTGGAAATTGAGCTCATTTGTTATATGATACAAGTATTCATTCAGCTGTTCTCTCTCGTTTTGTTCATTTCAGAATAGGGTTTTCTAACTAGGGTTTCTATTCATTTTGTATTAGTATACAGATTAGATCTCTAGTGTTCATCTGAGAGTTGAGAGTGATTGTAGTGAGATTTTCCTTTGTATTTGTTTGATGTAAACCAACTGTTTCATAGTGAATGAAATCTTGATGTTGGGAAAATCTTGAGTTTATACTTTCGTACAAATTTTCCTTATAATGATTGTTATTTTTTGTGGTTGAATAAGAATATAAATTTAGGTCTAATGTATTGAGCTTTTCTTGTATTTTGGGCAGAAAAAATATGGAATTTATTACAAATTGGAAAAGTCGTATGCAATTTGTAGTAAAATATTTCGTAGGCAATCTGTAGAAAATGATTCCGTAGGGAATCGGTAGGTAATAATTTTGTAGGTAATCCGTAGATGATAATTATATAGGTAATCAGCATTAAAAAAGGATATGTAGGTAATTCGTAGGTAAATGGAGCTGTAGGCGATCCATAAGTAAGTTACCAACAGAAATTTTCGTAGGCAGTCTGTAGGAAATTCTGTAGGCAATCCGTCACAACCAATTACCCACGACCTATATTTTTACGGAGTTGTTTCCGTAGGCAATCCCTAGGCAATCTGTTTTACCTACAGATTACCTACAAAATCTGTTGTAGGCAAATGGATAGTTTTTTAGTAGTGAATACATATCCAACTTTAAAAGAAAATATGTGCATAAATGCACAAAAATAGCTTTTTATTCCCTATAGTGTCTTATTATTTGGGTGATATTTTATAATATTGGCTGTTTCAAAAAAAAAAGAAATATGGTTGATATTACTGAATAGTTGAGTGAGTGATTAATTTAAGTATTGAATGAATTTATGCATGAATAATTATATAATATTTTCCAAATAACGTAAGGAAATGATATTGTCGGTGGGGATAGGAGAGTCCCATGTGGAGCTTGGGATCCGAGGCAAAGCCCCTTGTAATACACACCATTTATTTCCTACTTTACAACTCCAACTTCTCATTTCAATTATTTATTCAAAACCTTCATCATCATCATCATCTTATTCTTTGAATTTAAACATTCAAAAATATAGAATTTTTAACATTCTTGTATTCGATCCAAAGTCCAAACACAAAAAATATTTCGTTATTGATTTAAATATATTTATATTGATTAAATTATTATAACTCTCCTAACCTTTTGAAAGTTCTGTTTCTTGTGTCGATTTTGATATTATTGCATAAAATAAACGTAAACAATATATATACGCTATTATGTGCATCTTTGATTGACTGGTACATTATAAATTAAGAATATTAATCATAAATGTTTAGTATTTTGTATTTTGAGATATACTATGTCATATTCGGCACACAACTTTTGAAAGCTTTTATCTTTTAGCTTTTAAAAAACTGGAAAGGAAAATCTTTCGTCAGTAACTTTTGGCTTTTAATCAAAATAAAAATCTTTAAATCCAAATCCTACTTCTTAATAAAAAACTATTTTATACTTTTGCAAATTGATTTAATTACTCTTTTTTAAATCAATTGTGTATTTTATATAAGTTATTTTATATGTTTTAAAAAAATTTCAATTGTTTTTATCAAACACTCATATATAAATAAAAACCACATAATAAACTTACAACTAGTTTTATCGGAATACATTTTATATTTTATATAGATTCTTATATCTTTATCGCTATAACATTTATATAAGAAATTAAATATACATACATAATTAGAATAATTGCATTTACTTGTTAATAAAAAAATTTAATTTGGTTTTGATAGAAGTTGTGATAGAATTAATAGTAATAATGACGTCACCACTTCACCGCTCCCTTTCCTCTTTTTAATCCAAACTCTCACTGACACACCTCATTCTGTGTCTCTTCATCTCTCTCACATATCGATTCTTCCTTCGCTGCCATGGCGCCTGAGAAGGTACTCATTCGATATTTCAATTCCCTCTCAGATTATCAACTAAGTTTCATCTGCATTCCGAAGCCATTGTCGTTTTATCTTTTCAATCTAGTTTCTCATGACAAAATCTTCCTGTTAAATAAGCATTTTAAGAATTGAAATGAGCTAATATACTCAAGAACTAATGTCGATTAAATCTGTTTGTTATAACGAAACAGGTGACAGAAATGGTGCTGAATGTCGATCTCAAATGCTCCGGCTGCTACAAGAAAGTGAAGAAGGTTATCTGTAAAATCCCCCGTGAGTTTTTCTTCATCTTTTAATTTCCGTTTTACATAAATCTTTCTTTTACTAATTGAGTTCCGCTTTTGTCTATCTTTATAAAAGTATCGAATCCTTGGAATCTAAATCAATTCGATGTATGATTATATATTCATGATTCATGGTAGATGTATATATAATTAAATTAACTTTTCATTATTTTTTTTACTCATTATTAGAAATAAGGGACCAGGTCTTTGATGTGGACAAGAACAAGGTCAAATTAATCGTGGTGTGTTGTAGCCCTGAAGCTATTCGAGACAAGCTTTGTTACAAGGGTGGAGGTGCGATTCAGAGCATAGAAATCGTCGAGAAGTCGGAAAAGCCTAAAGAACCGGAAAAAGCTAAACCCGCCGCCGTCGCCGATAAACCAAAAGAGGCTGAGAAGGCGAAGCCACCGGCTGACAAACCAAAAGATGCCAAACCAGCTGCCGACAAGCCTGCCGGAAAACCCAAGGAAGCCGAGAAACCCAAAGCTGCTGACAAGCCAAAGGATCAACCGGAGAAACCCAAAGCCGCTGACAAGCCAAAGGATGCAGGAAAGCCACCGGAGGCCAAACCTAAGGACGCAGGGAAGCCACCGGAGGCGAAACCGAAGGATGCTGGGAAGCCAACGGAGGCTAAACCTAAGGATGCAGGGAAACCACCGGAGGGGAAACCTAAGGAGGCGGAGAAGCCAAAACAAGAAGCTCCGAAGAAAGTAGATTTTGCTCCGAACCCGGAGGTGGCGAAGATGGTGTATGAACCGGTGCACGGCTATCCACATATGTACCCACAATCAGCTTACCCACCTATGGTGGGATACGGGCAGTATTACGATCAAGGTTACGGTGGTGCTCCGTTTCAGCATGGCTACGGGATGCCAATAGCACCACCACCGCCGCCGCCTAGTTATGGTGGGTTTGGATACGACCATGGAGGGTATAATAATGGGTATAATGGGAACAGGAGTCATTATTCGAGTAATGATTATGGAGGCGAAGAGGAAGGTGAAGGTTGCTCAATAATGTGAAAATGGTGGCGGGTGAGGTGGTGGATGGTGGGTGGTGGGTGGTGGTCAATTTCAAGGTGAAATAAATAATCCCGATAAAGATAATCATGACACGATGAATAAGTAAGTTTTAGATAATCTTCCATGTGAGAAATCTTAAAAAGATGGCATGTAATGAATCTTTCTGTACATCGTAAAGACGTTATTTTTTTTTTTTTCATTTTTCTTTCTTTTTGTATTGATAAAGACATGATAGAAATGAAATAAGTTTTATTTGTAAAAACATGGCTTTATTAGCGAAGAAGAATCGAGAAAGAGATTGGTGAATTGCATTAGACTCCAAAAAGTCACCAACTTGTATGATTAACGAGGAAAAAAGGACCAATGATATGAATCCATCACCAACTTGTATGATTAACAAGAGAAACAGGACCAATGACATGGATCCATGATCAAGTGGGACAGCATCCAGTTGGAATGACCCTACATTACAAAACTGGTTTTCAACAATTGGGGTATTGCCTTTTGTTAGGGTATTGTTAAATTCAACTTGGGGTATTGCGTCTTTTTGTTTGTTAGGGTAATTCTTGATATCGAATTCATATTATTGAATCAAAATAATATAAATAGAAACCGGTATCGATGTCCTTATATATTAAATCATATAATATAATAGAAACTGATATGGATGTTTGTTTATTTTTTGTAGAACGGCTTATAAACACTGCATTACTCCTCAACTAATACCTTTTGTCCACCGCAATATTTGAACCATCAACATTTGGCTGAGAAGCACCTATCATCAACTCCTAACACCAATAGACCAAAGACCCTTTGGTTGATATCTGTTTATTTGACTGTAGTTTAAATGCAACAAATAAGATGGTGTTTTTGTGTCCTGGTTTTCCTCAACAAATGTTTGTTTATATTGAAAATGTTTTTTGAGATTACTAATATCATTATTTTTGAAGTTAATTTGACAATTTCTTTTATTGGATTTCTAGTTATCTTAATAATGGATCTAGAACCATAACCACAATCGTTACCTTCAGTTAGTTGAGAATCGCATATGTGTTGTTATGTTGGGGACCCTCACGGATTTATATAGAAGTGGAAAATAAGGTTTTCATTTAACTTCAATCAACTTTTTTGATTATAAAGCGCGCCCACCATATACATTATACATTTTAGCTCATTAAATAACAATCTAACATGATAATATGTTTTTTTTTTTAAATATGAAACTGAATACGCATACATCCCATGTTTCCAAGAATATGGTTATACTTTGGGTGTTTGTTTCAAATAGATCAGCAGCATCCGATTAAATAAATTCCAATTGATTTTCGTTATTAATATATATTTTTGGTTGAATCGGTTCATAAAATCTGATTTTCTAGAATCTGGATATTCCAAGAAATATCTAAATATATGTTTTTACAAGTAACAAGTTTGAATTGTAAAACTTAAATCCATAAAAATACGAAGGGCTTAATGCTTTTTATTTGGGTCAAACCTTCTAATATAATGAAAAATAAAACTCTAATAGTTTAAAAAGTATTCAAAAAATTATGTATTAAAATTTTATAAACAATAAAACTTGACATAGTTATTCCATATTTTTGTAATATTCGAGTGTTATTTTAGTACTCAAGACCTATTCGAGCTCTAAAATCGACTCAAATTAATCCAAAAATCTATATATCTAAACCATATTATTTAATCCAAATTGTATAACATATAGATAGTGAATAGACGCAGTTTTTTTTTTTTTTTTTTTTTTTTTTTTTTTTTTTTTTTTTTTTTTGCAATGGGTAATCACAAGATGATCTAAGAAAGGAGAAGCTTTTTCAACGGTTTGGCTTTATTAGGCAAATGCATACACGACAGATTCCCATCTTCATTGCTTTTTCGTAAAATATAGGAATCGTTACTATATATCTTTATCATAACATTGTTTGTAGTGTTCAAATCAATTATTATGTACGTTTAAACAATTAAATTATATAAACAAGTGATACAACTTTATAAAATATAAGCCAAGACCCTTTTGTTTCCTAACACGTGAAGGTAATTGTAACTTGTAACGATATTTTGTTTATCTTCGTCGGGTTTGCTTCTACTTCTTGAGCATTCTTAGCAACGTTTTATGGAAGGAGATTGAAGTTTGGTGAGTGTTGTGTTTATATTACGGTTATCATTGTTTTTTTTAAACTAACTTTTTAAAATGTCTTAAAGTTATAAAATAACTAATTTTATATTTTAAAAGGATAACCAATTTATTTTTTGTATGGTTACCTATTATCTCAGGTTGAATAGGTAAATTCTGTTTTAAATTTTACATTTTTGTCATAGGTTCTAAATATTATTACAAATTTTGTTAAGAATTCGTCTAAATTTAGTTTTTTGTACATTTATTTTTCTGTAATCTTTTTAAGAATTTTTTATAAGTTTTTTTTCTTAACCTTTTTTTTCAACTTCTTTTTTAAATTCTTTTATAACATTTTATTAACTTTTTTTTTCTAACTTTTGCATTGTCTCATATATGTATAAAAAATAAATTTAGACGATTTCTTAACAAATTTTAGTTTTTTATACATTTATTTTTCTATAATCTTTTGATCGTTGTTTTATTATTTTCTCTGATTTTAAATCATATTTTTTATTTCATCAAATTCAAGTGTTGCGCAATCATCAAGAAATATTGGTTTGCTAATCTATATGAGACAATGCAAAAATTGAAAAAAAGTCAAGAAATTATTGTAAAAGAATTTTTTAGAAAAGTTAAGAAAACAATCTTCTTAAAAATGTTGTAGATTAATAAATAAATAAATAAATAAATTTAGACTATTCTTAACAAATTTTAGTTTTTTATACATTTATTTTTCTGTAATCTTTTGATCGTTGTTTTATTATTTTCTCTGATTTTAAGTCATATTTTTTGTTTCATCAAATTCAAGTGCCGCACAATCATCAAGAAAAATTGGTTTGCTAATGTATATGAGACAATGCAAAAATTGAAAAAAAGTTAAGAAATTATTGTAAAAGAATTTTTTAGAAAAGTTAAGAAAACAATCTTCTTAAAAATGTTGTAGAAAAAAAAACTAAATTTAGGACGAATTTGTAACACAATTTTAAATTTGTAATAGTATTTAAAACCTAAGCAAAAAGTGTAAATTTTAAATGGACGGTGACTTGTTCAATCAGAAATAATAGGTAATCATATAGAAAACATGAGTTGCTTATCCGTTTAAAATATTAAAATATGAAAATGATTATTTTGCAACTTTTAAAACATTCTGAAAAGTTAGTTTAAAAAATTAGTAATAATCCTTTAGTTGAAAGATAGTTTTAATATTATAATATTATTTTCATGTAATTTAATATTATTTTTCAAATTAATATGGTTTAAGATATAAATTAAAAAAAGACTACAGATTACTTGTGTTTAGTTAGTAGAAAGTTAAAAAAAAAATTAAAGTTTCAAATAAATATAATACAAAAAAGATTATCCATATCATAATAGAGACTAGGTGTATATCCACGTGCTAGACATAATTAAAACTAGAAAAGATTCTCCGGCGTTGCCGGGGTCGGAAGATATTGCTTTTTAAAGTAAAGTAGCATGTTGGTTGCTTTTTGTCCGTTAATGTGAGGGTAATTTGGTCTTTTCAGGTAGTAGGGACTGAATTTGTCACCATGGGTAAACCATATGGACCATTTATGTAATTTTGGCGGTGGTGGTGGTGGTGGTGATGGCAGATGGTGGGTGGGTTTATGGTATTGGGTGAGTATTTTCTAATAAATAAAACATTAATTTAAAACCAAAAAGAGAATGTTAAATCTGGTAAACCACAGAGACCAATCGTGTAATTTTGTCTAACAATAATAATAATAATGATGATGGACCATTTCTGTCAAAAGACTAAATATTAATAATATGTAATAAAAGGCGAGGGTTATGAAAAATTCAAACCAAAGTGAAAGGGTTGTTTGTGAACAAAAACATAAAGATGAAGGGTCAATGTTGTAAGTTGGATGACCAAAATTAACAAAAAAATGTGCCAGTTAAAATCTTTAATAACTTTAATATATATATAATAGTTATGTGATAAAAAAATATTGACAAATAAGATATAAACTTGAAACATTTTGATATAAAATATCAAATCAGTTATTAAAATTATCAAGATTGATATTAGACATCAATAATAAAGTTTCAATAAAGTGTTTAATAAGAAACTAGAACCAAATTACTTCAAAATGACTACTGTAGTTTTAAAGTATTTATAACGTTTTCATCATGTTAATTTAACAAATATCAATGAAAGATCCAACAATATCTATTCAGTTAGATTGTTCAAGATTAAAACATAATAAAATATATTTACATTAATTACCTTGAAAACTAAAATAAATAAATAAATGCGAGAGCAAATTTTTTGAGTAACGAAAATTATATATATTGTATCATATTTTTACCTTATGATACTCGCTCTTCAAAAAAATAAAAATAAATAAATAACTCATTTATTCTCTAATCATATTGTATTATCATGTTATGCGAGAAAATAATAAACTTTCTAGTAATTAATTACTTATCGTATATTAAATATAATAAAAACAAAATGCCTTATTAATAGTAGAGTTTGGTCTTTTAGATTTTGGCCATAATATTTTAGCATATCGGTAGGTTTTGTCTTTATATAAAAAATAAATTATGAAAAATGGTCCATGTGTTTAAAAAATTAGAAAAATGCTCCTTTCCTAATAGAAATTAAATGATTACTTCCTCATAAAGCGAACATTATAACTTAATAGTTTGGCAAAAACAATTGAAAATCACCGGGGATGGGGCAATTTCTAGTTGCCAATAAAATGGAGTGCATGAACATATGAAAAAAAAATCAATTTCTACTTCCAAGAAACAATATATTTAAGAAATTCAAAAATTAACCAAAACTCATATTTTATACTATAACATTTTATAAATATTTGTCTATTGTAGATAAGAGGATAATTTTTTTTAATATTGTGCTTGCAAGTTTGTTACATGCTTCTTTTAACTCAAACTCATCTCTCACTGTCTCCACTATAGCTTACATTGCAAGTAAGATACTATATTAGACAAGAAAATGAAGTATCTTGCTATTTAGTTGTATTTACCCAATTAGGGTCCAAGTGCAAGAAATAACAATATACTTTCATTTTGTAGTCTAATATAACATCTTAATTTTATTTCTTATTCTTATTTTTTATTATGTTTTTCTTATTAAATCATTATACTTACAAAGTACAATGCTATTGTGGATAAAACTTTTGAAGGGTTTTCTATGCATCTATACATGAACTTTAGGCAACAAAATCATTCAATAATAATGTTAAGTGTACATATACCCTAGATCTAGGTTTTACTATTATAGCAACCTACTTTCAAAACAATAAATTTAAACTACAAAGAGAGATAGGATTACTAACCTTTAAAGTATATATGTATATACTTTTGATTCCTTGAAGGTCTTGAACTCTTGGTTGCTTTTGGAAGGATCTATCACCCAAAATAGGAATGTCTCTAAAGACTCACACCCCAAAAGTCTAAAACTTTAGAAAATTAAGGAGATATAAGAGACACTTATGAGAAACAAAAATCTCACCCCAGAGGGGTCTTTATATAGTTGAGGTAATTTGCAGATAAAACTGATTTGAATTAATTAAATAACCAGATTAATCCCCATTCAAATCCTTTCTTTGTCTGTTACCTGGATCGATTCCAAATGCTCCCGGAGCCTCTCTAAAACCGTCCACCCTCTTAGGGTTTACATAATGTTCCTTT